CCACCTCACCCGCCCCCGGGGAGGTTGCCGCCTCGCCACCGACGCTCGACGGGACGCAATAATTCTCCGCCTCCACCGACGGCGGCACCGCTGCCCCACTTTTACTCGCTTTTACACACCTAGGTGGAACATTCTTTTTTTTTTTACTCCGTTTTAATCACGCCTCTGTCATTTTACCCCCCGCGACTTCATTTCCACGAGGTGCACGACACTGAAAGAGGCATCCTACAGCAGAAAACGGCACCGCGGACGGGGAGACCCGGCGCTCAGCGGCACCGTATTAATTGGGCCAAGAAAAGGATTACGGTAGTAAAGTTGTGCAATTTTCTCTGTTGCTGCTTTTTATTTCAATTATAACGACGCGAAGGCGCGCGGACGCGGGGGCGACCCGATGGAAAAGAAAGGAGTGTTATTATGGAAGATGGAAGAGGAGGGGGAATGGGAAGGGTGAAAGGCGGAGGAGGGAAGGGGAGGAAAAAGGGAGGGCCGGTCGCTGCTGCATCCTGTAGGAGTCGTTAAAGTTTTACGCGTACTTCACTTACTCCCGCTTACCCAAAGTGAAACCCGCTGCTCCCGCCGCGCGCCGGCGGCCGCCACCCGGGGCTGCCGTCATCGCGTAACCGTTTGCTTTGTGAAGCCATACGGGCTGCTTGCTTACAGAGCAAGCGCTCGTGCCGGCTCGTGCTTTTTTGTTGTCGTTTCTTTATTCACAAAAAAGAGTAATCCCGGTCCGTCTCTTTCCGTATGGCGTGGGTGTTGTTAGTGTGCGTGTTTCCGGATGTGTTGGTCGCGTTGTTTGCTCGAGAGAGAGGGGGAGGGGGTGATTAGCCATTCGCACAAGGGTTGTGGAGTGCGAGCCTCGTCGGTGGTCGCAGTGGCTGTGGGAAGGGGGGGGGGAGTCTTGATGGCGGCGGCGGTTGGCGTGCACGGGACGGCTGCGAGAGAAGAGACAGAAGAGCCCACACAACGCGACCCTCCGCGCCGAGCTCTGTGTGCGTGTGCGTGCGTGGCAGAGAGGGATCGAGGCAGCAGCAGCGAGAGAGAGAGAGAGAGAGAGAGAGAGAGAGAGAGAGAGAGAGAGATAGAGAGAGAGATAGAGAGAGAGAGAGAGCATGTGTATAGTAGTAGCAGGGCCTTCTTTCACGACAAACACGCTGACGAAAAAAGAACCTCCCCGTTGCGCGCGGGGCGGGGCGAAGACGGGGCTGGTTTAACGACGTCAGCGCAATTACCGACCTTTTCGCGACCTCCTCGATGTTGCTTCCGACACGCGCGCGGAGCTGCACATTTTTTTTTCTTGTTTTTTTTTTTTTATAATGAAAGTAAACCAGGCGTGACCGGCCTGCTGCGCTGTGCGGAGCAAGGCTCGCGACGCTCTGAGCTGATGATAAATCTTGACGTCGCGCGCTCCCAAATGGGGACCGATGATGGCGTGAAGGGCGTGCGGGCCGTGCGGGGCGTGCGGGGCGTGCGGGGCTCTTGGCACCGCGGCGGGGGGTCGCTTGAGTTACTGGAGACTCCCCAACTTGCGCCCGCGGAATCCCCGCGCCCCTCATTGCAGCAGCAGCAGGAAGGAGGGGAGCCCTTTAGCGGTCGTGGGCGAGCACAAGTTTAAAGTTTTTAAGTAGAGCCGCGAGCGCTCGCCCGTGCTAAGTAGCATTGCGTCACCTATCACGGGAGCGCGCAGATCTTTTGCCATCTCTGTTGGCCAGCTGCCGCCGACCAGCCTAGCCGGCTGCGCGCGCCTGCTGGCTTATTGTCCTGCGCCGCCACAGAAAGTTTCGCGTGGCTGGCGGTGGTGATCCTCTCCGTGTGCTCCTTCCGTGTCCCTCTCCTTCCCCCTAACCCTCACGCCCTGCTGCTGCTTGCTGCTCCTGCTGCCCTCTGTTTCGATCGCTAAGTATTTCATTTAGCAGGCAGCAGGCATCGATCGCGCGGGCTGGAGCAGAGAGGTAGCGAAAACGGAGTGATGGTAGTATCAGGGAGGAACGGAAAAAAACGGATTCAATGTTGCGTCGAGGGGAAGATAAAAGAGGGAAAGAAATATTGGACCTCATACATACCGTCGTTGTTGACTTATGGTTAGCGAAAAAGGCGAACTGCATAAACAGGCAGTGGGATGGCGGCCGGACAGGGGGATGAAGGATGAGGGGGGGCTCGGGCGGGCTCATCTTCGTTGTTATTAGCCATAAGGATGCAAATGCGCGCCGAGGGTGGGTGGCTGCGCTGACTGCGCGCAGCTTACACTAACGACGCTACTCACCGTGCCGCTCGTGCCGCCTGCTTCGTGTAATCCGTTATGCCCGCACCTCGTTGTCCTCGTGGGGTCACTACTTGTTGCGGAACGGGAGCGCGCGCGCCTGCAGTCCCTCCGGGGAGGCCTGAGCGAAACGACTGACAGCTCCGGCGAGGTGAGCTTGCCACCGGACCGACACGCGCAGCACGAGGACGCCGAGGAGGACGCTGACGAGAACGCCGACGAGGACGCCGCGCGAGCCCCCCTCTCTGCTGCCCTTCCGTCCGGCCGTGTGGCCCGGCCACCGCACGTAGACTGAGCGCCCGGCCCACGCGGGCGGCATGCGCCCCCGTAGCCCGCGGCGGTGGTGGAGGGGCGGGGGTGGCGGAGGGGCTGGACGCGCGGCGTGGGGCGCGGCGCGGCGCTGTGTTAAGGGAGCCAGCAGCCGCCAGCAGCAGGCTGGGCACTTGCATATTTCCCCAAGTCTTCATTCGATGGAATTCGTTCTCCTTCGACGCGTCAATAAACATCCCGCAGTCTACTTTAGAACGAGTTTCGCCCGGTTATCGGTGAAATAAACTGGGACACACTTTTATATCGTGCGTCGATACCCTCTGCGCCAAGGGTTCCTCTGCAACATGGAGCACCGGTACCACAGCACATTCCGCATGAGTGTGTCGGAGAAAAAAAAAGTTTGGGAAAAGGCTGAATTATTAAAAGGCCTATCATCAGGGTATGACTTTATTTTACGCTATTTACACAAATTTAAAAGTACTGGCACAAAAAAATCGCGCCTGAAACATCCATCGAGTTTAAAGAGAGATTTATTAACAGTCTCCGGGATAGTATTTATTATTTACAGTATTGGCAACATAAATTGGTTTCATGCTTCCTCATCTCTTACAATTACTGAGTTGTATTCATTCTTTTGTGGTTGGCGTTTAATTAATTTATGGGAGTAATTAAACTTTTCTTTCCTTTTAAGACTTACAATTATTAAACAAAATAGTTTCATGACTTAAAATCACTCTGAGATGAATCTAGGAAGCATCAACAGTTTGGTAACTTCACATTTCTTCGCAAATTAGGTCAGTACATGTGCCAGTTTCTCGACAATGATCCGTCTGATTGTATCATATTAGGGGAAAACATCTGTACATTATAGCAGGCTTTCAGAAGCAGGTCACATAAGAACCGCGACTAAGTACACTGAGAAGTAGGTGGGGAAATTGACATTGTTTAGGACAACGTTGACTTAGCTTTGTTGTCAATACTTTTTGCAAATACTCTTACCACAAAAAATGCAATGTAATGCATTTTTTCTTGGTCTAATATGGCTCCCACCTACCATTTATTTACTTGTTCACACACATACAACACAGACACTCACGCACACATTCGCATACATATACACACCAGTAAAAAAAAGAAATTACAAAAGAGAAGATGATAGACAATTAAATAAGGAACACATTGAGCTGCATTTCATACTTACAGACGAAATTAGACAGACATGCTTGCAGCATTTTTTCTCAGGTCCATTCATTACGCTCTAGCCTGCGGAGATCCGCACAGAGATTTCCAACGCCCCAAGACAGAATTTGACAGCAGTAAACTATCGGAAAATACTTTTAAATTTGTACACACCACATACGTAAAAGGCATTTGTCAAACTCTAGTCTAAAGGCTACTACATCAGAATAACACTCTGGGCCAATCTGGAGGCTAAGGAGGCAATGCCAAGAAACATTTGTGAAACAACAAATAATATTGTATAAATAGGACAAAACGTTCCTCCCCAAAAGCTTTTCAAGTCGTATAATTTTGAGGTCTTTTCATTTTAATTTCGTACGATACGTAGTTTCCGACGTTTCCTGGCACTCCTCTTCAGGTATAACCCTGCCGCAACGAAAAGTCTCTGTAAAATTACCTCTCTTTTCTTTGTTTTCCGTTTTTTCAACACATAACAACAACTTTAACACGACGCAACACGGTCGGCCGGCCGGGCGCTCTCAGCCGCCCTCTTTACTTCTCGTCGTCAGTCAGTACCGGCGCGTCCTCTCGACGCCGGGGTGCGTCACCCACCTGGTCACTTGGCTCAACGCGCCGCGGGGGCGGGTCCAGAGGGCGGCCGGAGGGCGGAGGACCCCCCCTCGCGGCCCCCTCTGGCTCCGACCCCGGGAGCGCCCGTGAGGTCACTCACTGCTGGTCGCTCTTGACCTTGACGCTGTCGGTGCGCGTCTTGGCGAAGTGCGAGTCGCTGATGGGGTCCAGGCCGTACTCGTAGGCCCCCGCGTCGCTGTCGTCGTAGTAGGCGTAGTCGTAGTCGTTCTTGATGGCGGACGCCGTCGACTTGAGTGGCGCGGCGGCCGTGGGACTGGCCGAGCCGCTGTTGGGCAGCACCTTGGCGGTGTACTTCTTGGGGGGCGGCGCGGGCGCGGAGGTGGTGGCGGGGGCCGCGACGGCGCTCGCCCTAGACGAGGGCTGCCGGCTGTTGAACTGGTTGTTGAAGGCGGCGACCGTGCTGGGCGCGCTGGTGGCCGGGCTGCCGTTGTTGGGCGCGGGCGAGGGCGAGAACGGCCTGGGGGCGTTCTGCGGGCTGTAGTAGTTGTCGCGGGCCGAGGTGCCGGAGGAGGCGGCGGAGGTGGCCTGGCGCGGCTGTGGCGACGCCGTGGTCTGCGGCGGGCTGAAGGGCGCGGGCCGCGGGCTGGTCGGGAAGTACACGGGGAAAGCGGAGCTGGGCTTAGTGGTCTGCACACTGGTCGTGGTCTGGTTGCCCGCCGCCTTTGTGTTGTACGCGCTGCCGCTGTCCTTGGTGTTGAAGCTGGCGCGGTTGAACGAGTTGAAGTCGCTGGCGCGGTAGTTGCTCGAGTGCGCCGTCTTGAGGAACTCCTGCTCCTCGGGCCGCTCGTAGTCGTCCGACTGGGTCGTGCTGCCGCCGTTGTTTAGCCTGTAGGTGTTGTAGTTGAAGCGGTTGTTGTTGTTGTTGTTGGCCGCGGCGGCGGTGGTCGTGGTGGCCGCGGGGGAGGAGCCTCGCTGCTGCTGGAAGAAGGGCTGCTGAGTGGTCGGCGGGTTGGTCTGCTGCTGCTGCTGCTGTTGCTGCTGCTGTTGCTGCTGTTTGGCGTAGAACAGAGAGTACTGCTTCTGCTGGGCCGTGGTGGGCGCGGGCGTTGACGGCGAGGTGAAGTACTCGGTGGCCGTGGTGGGCTGCTCGCCGCGGGAGCGCTGGATGGTGTTGTACCTCGCCTTGGTCTGGTAGTTGTGGTTGCGCGCCGCGTCCACCACGGTGGTCGTGGCCGCGGTGAAGGCGGTGGTCGGGGCGCCCGACGCGAAGCCCTGCGTCTGCGTGTTGAAGCCGCGGGTCTCCTGGGTGGCGGCCGTGGACGCGTGCGTGATCTGCAACAGGCGGGTGCGTTCAAGGGAAGCAGGCTCGGGTGGATCAGAGTAGACGCCACAGTGCTGTGGGTTTGCATTAACCCCTCATGCCGCAGGGGTCGTGGTGCCCTACACGGGCGGAAGGAGTAGGCGAACCCGCAAACACTGCTGCGTCTGCTCTATAACATCCGACAAACCGTGGGGTAAGTTCGTCAGAATTCCCTCTCTTTTTGGAGCCAATGAGGTGTGGCATTGTCGCGGAAGTACAATTAAACAAAAACGAAAGTCTGAAATATAGCAGTATGAAAAATTGTCATGAGGTTTTTGTCGGGCCCACAACGCTAGTAGGAATGCTTTCCATGCTCTGAATGCACAATCGTTTCCCTCCCTCTGCCTTGGTCGTCCGTTTCAAGACCGTGCGAGTTGAAGCCCGTTGAGCAGTGTCAGATGGGCTGCCTACCTGCCGGGCGCCGCGCGCTCCGCGTCGGGCCCCTCATGCGCACGGTGCGCCCGCAGAGTAGGCCGCCCACCGTGCCCCGGGCACGCGCGAGGCGGGGCGGGGCGGGGTGCCGGTGGAGGGGATGCGAGTGGCTGTTGTTTGCCTTGTTTTATGTACTCACCGGTGCGATGGTGGTGCGGATGGCGGGGAAGTTGCCTCGCTGTCCGAAGGCCTGGTTAGGGCTGTCGATGTTGGAGTGCTGGTCGTGCTGGTAGGTGCGGTAGTACTCCTCGTCGTCCTGGTACTCGCTTCGGCGCGGCTGCTGCTGGTCCTGCTGTTGCTGCTGCTGGTACTGGTCCTGCTGCTGCTGCTGCTTGTACTGCTGGTACTGGTCCTGGTCCTGGCTGCCCTTCTGCACCAGCTTCCTGCGCACGGTCACCTTCTTTTTGCGCTGCTGGTTGAAGTTGTCCTGCTGGGGGAAGTTGGTGGTCTGCTGCTGCGGCTGCTGCTGCTGCACGGCCCGCGGAGTGGTCTGGGGCTGCTGGTAGTTCTGGCGGGCGGGCTGCGTCGTCTGCTGCTGCTGGAAGTTGTTTCGCTGGGGAGTCGTCTGCTGCGGCTGCTGGAAGTTGTTGCGCTGGGGGGTCGTCTGCTGCTGCGGCTGCTGGAAGTTGTTGCGCTGGGGCTGGGCCTGCTGGGGCTGTGCCTGCTGCTGGGGCTGCTGCTTGGGCTGTTGCTGGTACTGCTGCACAAACTGGGGCAGCGGCCCGGTGGTCTTGGCCTTCTGGCTGTGGCGGAACGCGTTGGGCCTGTAGTCCGGCTCGTAGTCGTCGTCGTCATCCTTGCCGCCGTTCTTGCTGTTGAAGAAGTTGCCACTCTGCGAGCCCCTGCAAAACGCACACACCCAGCGTCGTTATATTCTCATAATGACCTTCCCTTATTGATTATTTTTTTTTTTAAAGAGCTGAGACAACGCGCGCGCACACGTACATACACCCAAACTAAAAACAATCTGGTGAGAAGACGGGGGTTATGCCGAAATTCAAAGCGGCACGCGGCACCGCGGGGCCGCGGCGTTAGTCAGGATCCCATGCGCACAATGAGCCTGTTACACCGCACGGCAACGAGCGTGGAAAACAGCGCCGGCCGCGGGGCAGGCCGCGGGGCAGGCCGCGGGCAGGGCCTCGCCGGGGGCGGCGGGGAGTTCCGAAACGCCGCCGCCGCGGCCGCCGCCCTCTCGGTGGGAGAGCGGGCGAGCGGGGGTGCGTGCCGTTGCGAAACGAGGAAAAAGGCCTCCTCGGTCGCACTGAACGCAATTCCTCGCCGCTGCGAATCTACGAATGATATCCTCGTCAGGCCAGCTGCAGCCCCCGCGCGTCGCGCTGCTGCCGCCCCATTGTACGGGCGCGCTCGTGACATCCGATGACGCCGCGTCGGCCGGCTGCTCAATGCCACGAGACAATGTCGCCAGGGGAATTGAGCGGAAAAGTCTCGTCATGAAGGCGTAAAACGAGACAGCCTAACGTGCCCCTCTCAGCTAGACGTGGGCGGGCGTCGCGGTGGTGACGTGGGATGGCATCGCGCAGAAGGTAACTCTGTTTTTCTCAGATTTATTCGGCAAATTACGCGTCTGCAAGACTTTGGGTAGGCAGCCACGTATCCCGTCGAACACGCATGCACTACAAGCAAGATGTTGCCAACCTTTTAGGCTTAACTTGTCAGGGTTCATAATGGGTCGTGAGGGACGTACTTTGACGTGGATGGTCTGTAAGGCCGTGTGGGACCACTCACTTGAAGATGTCCCTGCTGGTGCCGTGGTGAAGGCGGCGGTCCCCGGTGTCGGCGCGCTGCAGGAAGAAGTCGTCGTCCTCCTCGCCGGCGTGGTTGGAGGCGATGGGCTTGGTGCGCGGCGCCGGCGGCAGGCCCTGGGGCGCGCCCGGCTGCGGCTGGCCGTTGAGGGCCGGGCGCTGGGTGGACGGCCCGAGCGGGATGGGGGTCGGCGACGGCCTCGACCCGTTCGGCCTCGGGTTGGACGTCTGGCCCGCACCTGCAGACACGCGCGCGTCACTCGGCTCTCGGGCGTGTGGGGAGGGTTTTGCTGGGGTAGCGCTAACTACACAAAGCGCGTGAGGTCCGTGTGTTTTACAAACATGCAGCAAGGACTACGTGATATGAGCGAGTGCGTTTAGAAACAGAAAGAGCAATGAGAAGGGCGGTCCGCACGCGTGCCGCGGATCTCTGTCCAAGATTTGTCCAAATTGCAGAGTCGGCGTGCGCAATAATTGTAATTAATTTCTCCCTGCAGACCACACGGCGGGCCGGGCCGCGCCGACCCGCGCGTTATGACAATGCCCGGGTGGTGCAAGTGTGAGTGCGGCCGTGAGAACGGTGCCCGGCCGGCCGGCCGCGCCGGTCCTGCAGCCGGCGGCCGTATCTTGTCAGTCAGCTGTGCAACGACGTATAGTGTCTTGTCTGTCCTGTGGATTTTTGGGGACGGCGCGGGATTGCGCGGCTATCTTTCAGCGGCTTGGAAAGAGCTGCCGGGATTAACAATACCACGTCCTCTCTCGTGTCGACGCCGTCCCAAGAGAGCAGCGTTTCGAAACAGGAATGCAACACCTTACCAGTCAATCTGCACCGTCCACGACACAGTCCTCTCGGGAGTGCGTTTAAAAAGGCAGCGACATAATCATTTGAGAGTAATATACAAGGATCGTTAAGTCATACGTCCGTCCGCCAGTCCACGCGGAGCCGTGTCGGAGCAGCCAGCTCACCGTCGCGTAGTCCGGTCCAGTAGGGTCATGCTAAAGTGGTGGGAACCTCCCACGCCCGCAGAGGCGCGCTCCGAAGTGCGTCCATCCTCGTCCAACTCTCGTGGACCAGGGTGGGGCGCACTCCGGACGCAGCCCCTGAGGGGGAAGGAGAGGAACGGGCATGTTCATGTGCTACACCATGGCTCAATCCATGGTATATGCAAACGTTGATATGAAGAAGGTGAAACTGGAGAAAAATAAAGAAAAGTGTTTAGCACGATTTATGACGATTAAGTGCATGCAACTACTTGCCATATTATATAGCAACGTTTCCATGTCCATACCCCAGGGAAGTGATAAGAACAAGAACACACAAAGCGCACAGCCTCGCCCGAGCTACGGCGAGAGGGGCCCATCCATTTTGTGCCCAGTCCGTTAGTCCAACAACGGATTGTCCTATTCATGCTACCAGGACATTACAGGTAGAGGCGACAATTGCCATCAAAATAAGTTGTGGCGACCTGATGCTATCGCAATCTTTTTTGTCAGGCTCTGGCTTGGATTCTCACATTAAAACTTTGCATAACGATTATTTGCCTTCACATGCATTATTTATACGTTATTTTACAGTATACCCATAGCGCCCGCTTTTAGCACACAAACGACACTGTCTGGAAGAAGATCCCGTACGTACGACACTTATCTCCCACTTCATTTGCAAACAATAAGATCCCTGCCTTCGTGCGGAGTTGCCAACATATATCTGTTTATATCGGCACGTTACAGGCCTATCGTATCTTGTTCGCACTTCAGCTACGTGTTAAGATCATTTGCAAAGTAGGTAGATAAGAGTTTTGGTAAAGTAACTTCCCTTTTATTGCTCCCTCGAGTCGCAATAAAAGTTTCCGCTAGCGCCTTGCGAGCGTGCTGAAGTTCTACTGCTCCCCGCTCACAATAAAAGCAACTGCTTTGCAAATTTTAAAACACTCGAGTAGCCTTTGAATATAACTGACTCACGGCTACCCCAATAGCAGCTTTTATTGCACTGTCCATCGAAATCCGTTCACTATTTGACCTTCTCACAGTTGGGCTGTTCGAGATTATCTTGAATCTCTGATTCCTAAACTATAGAAAGGGACCGACTATCAGGGTTACTTTTTTGCAATCAAATAAGTTAGGTTGCATTCTCACCTTCACCTTCAATCCCAACTTCTAAACTCTTCTCTCTGTGCTTTGGTACGTTCTTATGAAGGGTAATGAGAAAGTGCAACCATGCCAAGTGATGCTCATATGGGGAGGGGGGGTCTATTGAATGAATCCTTTTGTTGTTGTTTTTGTGCTTTCTACATTCGTTGAGCTTTACGGCTGCCTTGGTGATCAACTTCTGTGACAAATAGAGTGAACACTACTCTAAAAGTGCTGCCAAAAGATATCCACAACAATAAGGATTCACATTGTGGAGAATTCGTTTGGAGAAAAGTTAGATAGAGTGTATGTGTGTAGATAGCCTGCACACAAGAGAATAGACATTATAAGAAATCAAATTTTAAAGAGAGAAAGTGAAAGTAGCCATGCCTACTAAAGTGAAAGAAAGATCTAATAAAAAGGTGACTGATATGAATATCGGGTGATGGGGTGAAAGAAGGACGGATTTGCTTGAAGATGGAACAAGTGAAGAGCGGGGTTGCGCAAGCTGCACTCTTACCGACGGCAATCACTCTCCGTGTACGGCCGTAAGGGCAAGGTCTTTCAGAGGTACGTTCATCAGAAAGAGCGATATGATTTTGTTTCGCAAAAAGGGAATAAGAATAATAGACACGTTTTTTTTTCTTCAAATGTCAGCGATGGTTGGAACAAATTACAGAGAGAGTGATCGCCCGTAGGAATGCAACCCAAGCAGTAGAACGCCAGCACCACTCACCAATCCGGAATAAATCGAAGTTGTCTCCGAAGTAAAGGGATGATGACTCACAGTCGATGTTGTACCAGTCGTCGCACACCTGGTTCTCCTGGTCGAATGCCGTGTCGTTCGGGCACAAGAATCTAAAGTCTTGAACCTGCAAGGTTTGGTTTTGTTCGCACAAATAAAAAGACGGTCATTTGCTCGTTGTAGTAAGCTTAACAATCAATTCAAACGGGACACTGGATCTGTACGCATTCTCTGCCACCAAAGCCGCCTGCCTCTCTTACCCCGATGCCCGGCACCTTGACGCACACGTGGAACATCTGACACTCGGTCTCCGCGTCCCCGTAGTAGCCGCCGATGACTTTGTCGCTGCAGTCGAAGTCCGTCTCCGGCATGGACGCCGGGTTGTAGTTCGGCGGCCGCTTCTGCGCCGCTACCATGGCCACGGCCAGCAGCACCGCGCCTGCAACACGCGAGAGAGGGGTTATAGAATATTATGTAAGTCTCGAAAGAAAAAAAGAAATAAAACGACAACACAAAAACTATTTTTAGAGCAGCCGCCCGTCGTCGTTGACTAACGAGGCGAGCTCGTCGAACTCGTGGCAGGTGCCAAGAGAAGAGGACCCGGAGTAGTCGTAGTACGGCGCGCTGCCGCCGTGAATGAAAAGAGGAGCGGATGAATGGGACGGACAGACGGCGGGCGTGAGCGGCGATGGACCTGGAAACCAGCCGGTGTTGCACACACACGCACACACACGCACGCACTCCGTGACATTTAGGTGTCCCACTGGCCTAATGGTGTAGGACCGGCTGGACCCGCTGCTCTAAGCGCCGCTCTGCGCCATGCCGGGCCGCCGACCCGACCCCCCGGCCCAGGGGGGAGGACGACCTAATGGCCACTCTTTTATCTAGGGCTCCAGCCAAGTGCTTAAAATTGCGCGCTGCGGATAAACACCACTTGTTCCCGAATAACACAAACAGCGACCGAAAAAACACGCGGAGGAATAAAAATATTGCCATCTTCTCTCGCGCCTTTCCTTTTTTTTCAGTGATCTCCAGGAAATCGGATCAGGCAGTCGAGTCGATGGAAACGAGATACATCCACTGTGTTTGTCTTTTTGTGCGGGCCTCATTTGTCGGACACGTGGCTCCGGCCCGGGATGGCCTGCGCCGCGGGGGGTATGGGGGTGGGGAGGAGCAATTATTTGGTCAGGTGACACGCCGGTCCCCGCCGGGCTGGGCCGGGAGTCCCCGCGGTGTGGTGCGGTCGGTGCGGCCGGGATTGGGAAAGGCAGAGCGGCGCCGAGCGGCGGCCGCTGGTGGCCTGCACCGAGCGCACGACACGGGGGGACTCACGAAGCAGCGCGGCGCAGGCCTGCGAATGGAATGGGACGATATTTGCGATCCGAATCACCAAGCCAAATCATCCAATGATGTAAGGGAGTCCATAAAAAGGTCAGGACGGTGAGGGAGGAGAGGCCGCCGCCGACTCTCGCGCGATGCACGGCCATATTGTCACATCCGAGGAGAACTTTAAAGCCCTCGCAGCAGCAGCAGCGCGCGCCCTTCGCTCCGCGGGAGGAATATTTAGGTCGCGAGATTAAGAAACGCTAGTGGGGACTAATCTGAGCACAGGGGGGCTGCTGGGCTGCTGCCCTGCCCGTCTGTGGGAACGAGCTCCAGGAGGAGGAGGAGGGGCAGGAGGCAGGAGGAGGAAGCCCTCGTTGTTGTTGTATGCACACCAGCAGATTGGAGCGCACAATAAGAACAGCCGTCGCAAACACTGTCCCATCATCCGAAGAAAGATGGCATGATGGCATTTTCATTGGCGAGATTTCCTGTTATTTTTATTCGAAGCACCCGCTGTCACTATTCCCTTTTTTCCCTCCATATTTTCGTTCGTCGCGATCGCTCCCGTTGCCTCACACAGTCCCTTCGCTGCACTGCACGCCGGCCCGGCCGGCTGGTCGCATCGCCACGTCCATCCTTCAAACCTAATTGGCTGCCTGGCATTTCCCGACCTTTCTCACCAAAAGCACAGCAGAAATGTTGTTGCAGACGCCCTCCCCTCCCTCTCACCCACGCTCGCTCTCTCCCTCTCTCCCCTTCTTCGTTTTCTCTCTCCCTCCCTCACTCGCGCTCGTTCACAGCCTTGAGCCCCAGCACGCATACCGCTGAGCAGTACTGCTGTCTCCGAAATCGAGGGAGAACATAGAGAACGAGTGCCTTTCTCCTTAAGCGGTTTGTACAAATAATAGACGTAGTTTCTTTCGATCTGTCCTGCTGCAACTCCTGATGAGCAACAGCCGCGTAGAGCACGGCTGCTGGGTGCTCGGTTGGCGCAGGGACACGCGAGTACGTAGTTTTGTTTTTCCTCCCGGTGTTGCAGCGTCGCGTTTTTGGCGGATCACGGTCAGCCGCTGTGCCTGACACTGGTCCATCCCCAGGGAACACCTAGCCACGCTAATCCCACCGCCTGCTGAGCCCGGAAACACCCCCCCCCCTTCCTTTCCTCCCTTGGCCTTCTTGTTTCTTCAACGCGCCGCGTGCGAACGAAACACGCCAGAAATTGAGGAACCAACTTATCACCCCTTTTTACTGTCTACGTCCAAGGACCCTATCTTTACACGCCATCTAGACGGGGCTTCAGTTATTTACTGTGAACCTACATCGCCAACCAGACATGCTCCATGAAACGCATATATGAAGAATAAGGTAAGTGATTGTGATTGTTTAGCTCTGCGAGGAAGTGGATCCTGGATCCTTATTAAATTTCGTTAAAATCGGAAACCAACATTTACAAAACTTGCAAGAAATATGTAAAGTGTAAAGTGACAAATCGGAAAGAGTGTTTACGCTGCGGTTTGAGAAATCATTGTCATAATTGCACTGTCAATCGATACAATTATTCTGTAAATATAAATCGCTTAAATGCGACCCACTGTTTGCTCTCGACGTTTCTCGCAAATCCTCTCAAACAATTAGGCGCTTGAGGCTAAAAGTTTGTGGTGACAATGGGCCCTGTCACACTACTGTCGCCGGCGCGCCTGCTGTGCCGCCGCCTGCTCGATGAGGCGGGTAAGCGGCGCGGGGCGCGCGAGTCGTCGACAATGAGACAATGCTCTGCACAGATTAATGAGGGGAAACTCGTCGCCTCTGCCGCCCCTCCTCCTCCCCCGCCCCAGCAGCGCGGCCGCCGCCCACCGAGTGACAGACTACGTACTCTCTCCAGTCGCCCATGAGATGAGGGCTCCAGGGGGTGTCCAATCCTCCTCAGTCCTTGTCGCCTGCGTGTCCTGCCGCTAAGAGGCCCCCCCTCCCCCTTCTCCCCCCTTGCGGGCCGGCCCCCGTCAGGCGCCGTGAGCCCGCACTTTTCTTGTTGCGTTATCACGGGGCTGATAACGGCCCTGGCGACAGCAGCGCGCAGTTGATCACGTGCCGGGCTCAGGTGGCCGCCTCACCTCACCCCCTCAATAAGGCGAAGGTGTATTGTTTCAATTATTGGGCATCGCCTCGTTCCGGTCGAGCGGGGTGGGTACCCCTCCTCCTCGCAAACGATGCCGGTGCCCAGGATCAAACAGATGTGTATTAGATTTTAGCAGCTGAACGAATATACTTTAATCATGCATGGAGAGCCTTATAGTAAACGTTTGTTTGCCGCATGAATTATTTGTCTGGCCTCTTGCGTCAACCAGATTATATGGTTGTCTCTGAAGTAAGAAACGACAGCTTTGTATGTGTGTATATAAGGCGAGATATAGGGAGTCAGTTATGACATATCACACTTTGGCGAAATAAACACACCCGGATCGATGATGCCTGCCTTGTAATTCGCGACGCCAGTTCCCTGCAGCCTAGCCGCTCTTTCGTTATCCGTCGTTAGGCTATCCGTATTCGCTCCGCTCCCGCGCGCCGGACCCTCACCCACCGGCGTCCTCGTCTTGGCACCGCCGTCGTCACCGTCACGCTTCGAGCAGCGCGTCCCGTAAAACGTTTTCCTCAGCTCGTCCTCATAGTGGCCGTTATGAGTTACTCAATGAGGCCCACCAGGAGGTGCGCTCCGCGTGTGCGGTCGCGTCCATCACACCGACCACTTGTGCTGTGATAACGGAGCTGTCGCATTATTGTCATTACCACCATCGTTACTGCCCCCCCCCCTCTCTCTCTGTTATTACGCACATCGCCCGCCGGCTCGCGACGTTGAACAACCTGTTGCGGCGCGCGAGGAAGATCGGTGCATTATCGCACGAGTTGACTCATCGCGTCGCGTCGTGTGCACACGCTTATGCGCGCGCCTCACCCTCGCAGATGCTCTCTCTCTCTCTCTCTCTCTCTCTCTCTCTCTCTCTCTCTCTCTCTCTCTCTCTCTCTCTCTCTCTCTCTCTCTCTCTTTTTCTCTCTCTCTCCCTCTCTCTCCCTCTCTCTCTTTCTCTCTCTCGCTCTCTCCCTCACGCGGAAGCAGCGCTCCGCTATCATTAGCGCCGTGTATACAACCCGGCGGTGGTGATGGGGATGAGTGTCCCGCTCGATGCAAAAGGGGACGCGCGGAGCAAGGCGCGGGAGTGTATGGTGAGGGATTCCGTCGTGAGTCTCGATCGCCCGCCCCCCGCCCACGCGCTTCTCCACCACACCACTCCACACCCCCCGGGGCAGCAGCGTTTCTAACTGATGCAGATGGGAGGAGGGATGGTTTCCGAACGCGTCCCGAGAAGATGAAGGAGGAGCGGTTAGGGGCTGTGGGATCCGCGCGGCGCGCTCCGAAATGCCAAGGTGAGCGATGCCCCGGTGCGGCGCGAGGGAGTGCGGCGGTCGGCGGCGGGTGGAGTGCGACAGAGACGCGACTGCCGCTGCGCACGCACGCGCGGGTGTGACGGAGACGGGGCACAACGCGAACCGGAATCAACAAGGTCTTGTTGTTGTCGTTGTTGGATTTCCAAACGAGGCTCATCATCTTACTGTGCGGTGCGACGCAGGTACTTGACGAGGGCATTGCGGGTCACGTGACCACACAAGCCAATGACAACCCGTTCGACTTGCGCTCCTGCGGAGAGGGGGAGAGAGAGAGAGAAGGTCGCCGGTCCAATTATGAGTGAGTGAAGAGGACAGCCTATTAGCGGGTGGAGCGCCACCAGCTGCCACCATCGGCAGCAGCATCTCCGCGGCAGTGTCCCTCCGAAAACAGTCGCCGGGTCGACTGCTCCAGTAAGTTGTGTGCTTACTGTTCAGTATCAGCAAGTGTTCTTACTGGTGCAGCAAGTGTCTTGACTGTTCCAGTAAGTGTGCTTGCTTACTGCTGTGATGCGTTGCGACGCCGGCTTATATTGATGCAGTCGGCCTCGCGCACTCGAAAAGGTTACCGTTACTGCCGCAGTGACGGACACGAGGAAGCGACTGCGATAGTACACTGTGCTCTGTGAAAAATATCGTCGTAAATTTTCAAAAAATTTGTTAACTTGAATTACAATTTAAGTTGTAAATTTACGACAGCACATTTTTTACTCGCCAAGGGATTTGAAGTCGATGCATACTGCATGTATTTTTACGATTATATCAAAATACTATAATCGTATACGATTATAATATGTATACAAATTGTAATTTTACAACTTGCTTCAAAGAAAATTTTCCTGTAAACCTACCTACTTCATTTTACAGTGTGCAGGCCATGCAAAAGTCGGGTCTCTATGCTGAATCCTCGTAACGTTTTGCCTTTTACTTTTCCAATGAAATATCATTTTTTTCAATCATTTGAAAATTTCTTTTGCTACACAGCACACAGCTAGTTTTTGTGGGAATTTCATGGTACTTTCGCGTATGTTGCCTGTTTTATTTTTTTGTAACTTCATTTAAACAAATTGTAGTCATGGCATTGAGGAGGAGGGGCAGAGTGAGTAATAGTGTGAGAGAGAGAGAGAGAGAGAAAGAAGAGACGCCGCACTGGAGGCAGGCGCCCTCGGGGCATGGGCAGGCGTATATATGTGTCGTCCTGGAACGGGCCCGTCTTCATGGCACGGGGCAGGTGACGCACTTTACGACGACGAGACGGAGAGGCGGAGGCGGCGCGTTGACCCGAGGCTGGCGCGCCGCTGCCGCACCGCAGCCACTTGGGCCGTTGCACAACTGAACTGCATTCCCGTGTGGCGCATCCTCGCGGGTCGCGAGGGGGTTATGCGTTATTATGAGACCTCAGCATGCGCGCGCGCGCGCGCGCGCAACTGGAGGGAGGGGGAAGGGGCGTGAAATCAAATCCCGAGTCGCCATATCGAGCTGCTTCCCCTCCGCGCGCCCCCTCGCACAGATTGCAGAATGAAACCGTCTCGTGCCCGGGGCGCCGGGCCGCCGGGCCACTGCCACCGCCACGCGGAGAGAAGTCGGGAGTCTCGCTCTTTCATACGCCCAGCAGTTATTGTTCTACAATAATGCCAAACGTCTGCAACCGGCCTGCGGGTGAGAGAGAGAGAGAAAGGGACAGAGATTGAGAGTAAGGGGGGAGAAGTAGACGAGCCAACTGTCTACTGTTCGTCGTCCCCGCTGTAAAAGAAGCAGCGATATCACACTCGCTAGAAAAAAATGTGTGCAGCGAGCGAGGGTAGGGGATAGAGACAAGAGGGAGACAGATAAAAAAGTATATTAATGGCGCCAGCTGAGCTTTCTATTCGCCTCCTTTGTTGCTGTGTCCGAGTGTTTTTCCGAACGAGCTAGTTGCGGTGCTTTGGACCGGCGGCAGCAGGGAGGTCAGAATAATAGGAACAATGCTCGCAATGCTGCCGGCTGGCCGCATCGTGGATGAAAAATTTATGTCTCGTACTTTTTTTCACTCTTCATTTTCGTCGTGCCTCGTTGTAGACGGCCTTTATATCGCACGAAGAGCAAGAAGTCTGCTTCCTACCACGCTCTCTCCCTCTCTCTCTTCCCACCATTTCATCTTCCGCGCCCTCTGTGTCTTGTATTTTGAATATTTGTTTCACTGCGCTGCATTATTTATTTTGTTTATACCTGGAAAGGTAGTAAAAGAAAGCAGTGACTCTGCAGCGCGCTCCCTTCGCCGAATTTTGTGGCAGAGTTGAGCTCTGTGCGCCCGGGCCATCCCAACCCATCCCCCCCGCAAACAGAGATGAACGGCGAGCGATTCTCTTTCGCGGCGCGGCGTGGCGCGGCGTGGCGGCTCCATTCGATTGTGAAAGGCTGGGCGGGCAGCGCAGGGCGGGCCGGGCCGTGGCGAAGGCCCGTGGCAAAGCGACGCACGGCGCCGCGCTGCGCTCTGTGCGCCAACAACAGATGCAGCGCGGCGCGCCTGATTAGACACCCGCAATCATTACGGGGAGGAAAGTCCGAATTTATCTTGGACGGTTCAGGGAAAATAAACATAACAAACCTCTCGCAATCCACAGTATGGTTGGAACTTTCCAAAAGTTTCCAGAAAATTTCCGGGAAATGACGGAAAACTTTGAAAGTCTGGGAAAGTTTTCATTTTTTCCCGGAAATCTTCCGTTTTTCCCAGAAAATGTTCCTGAATCTTTCCTGAAACTTTCCAGGGCTTCCAACCCTAAGTCATAGATTGGGGATCATCCAGATTATCCGTCATTCTCCCCGTTTTCGAAACAACTGACAAGGTATGAGCAAGGGTGCAAAGCTCTCTTAACGCCTGATGGGTAGGCAACATCTTGCCTGCAGTGCAAGCGTGAACTGCGGGGTGGCCTACCCTGCGTCTTGCAGGCGCCTTGCAGCATCCATAACTTGCCCAAAGGAATTGGAATTTAAGTATATAACCAATTAATGGACGATCTCATATAAATTTCTGCCGTGTAATTTGCAATATGGTGACACATTATTTTTCAGTGAATGCTAAAATTGCAACCGACCGTCGACTATCGCCAACTTTCACCGCAAAAAGAATTGAATAACCCCTCCGGCCTGGAATATCACAATATCTCAAGAGTTTAAACCTTGTGGCGTTGATAGTACACATCATTCCACGAGTTGTGACACTGTTAACAAATCATTTTGTTGGTTTTATGTCCATATTGTTGTGAACTTCGCGTTACCTGGCAGGGGCGTTACGTTTCACCGGTCGACACAGCCTAAGGTTGAGGGAGGGGGAGCGTCAACTCGTGCTTGTGTGAGTGTCGGTGTGTGTTATGCCCATTACTCGGCCGCCTTCATACATATCGAGTCGGAGCGAGGATGAAGAAGAACAAGGAGAGGTACGAAGATGAAGAAGACAATCGTGGTGGTCCCGTCCTTGGCGCGTCCCGTCTCCCCATCCCCGTGACCTTTGCGAAGCCAAGCGTCCAGCCCGGC